ACCATCCACTCGCAGAGGAGGGAGGGACCCGGCTTTTTGGGCATCCTGGCGATGGCAAGGGCCGCAGCTTATTGTTTAAAGTAATTTCCAGTGAAACTGCATGGGTGATTGCTGGTAGATGCGGCAAAAGTGAGGTGGATTATGAGCGTAGACCACAAAGCCGTTGGAAATGTTGCTGATGGGAAGCGTAGGTAACTAGCGAAACAAAAGACTTGTATAAACTCCTGCAAAATGGAAGGGATTCGGAAAAGACCAAAGAAACGACTCTGATTTGTTGTTACTGAGGGAACTCGTCCATTTAGTGGAAATAGATGAACGAAACTAAGGCGGGAGGGAGGAGGGGAAAAAAAAAAAAAGAAGGAGAATGAGGCGGGTGTTCCAGCTGGTGGGCGAACTGACCGCCCTGCCAAAAGCTCTGGAATCCAATAGATCCCATAATAGCTGTGTTTACAGTTGACCGCCTGCCTACCTAGGCTGCTATACTGTATGTGCCATGCCTTCAAGGTTCTCATCAATCTGATCGTTGTTTTCGACAGTGACGCTCCTACCTAATGATTTGAGGGTGAGAATTAGGGAGAAGCTTTTTATTTGTGCTTCTCTTATATCTCTTTTCCGTCCGCCATTGCTGTCGTTTCTGCCTTTTTATCCCCTGTATTTCTTCTTTGCTACAAAACCAGGTTTCTCTGTCACTGCTTTCGTCTCAAGATTGCTTCACCCAGCCTCTGATGCGTACGAGTTATCCCTATGCAGCCCAGCGACAGCGCAGCCATCAAACAGGATGGTTACCGCTGTTATAGAAATAGAACTGCGACTCTGCAGTATACTATATGTAGCAGCGGCTGTGTCTGGTAATGGATGCCTTGTCTGGGGAACAGTGTCTTGGTAGACTGGATGAGGTTGCCTGGTTCCCTCGTGGTCCTCTGGATCAGTCCAGGCTCAACCTAGACAGCATCAACAGATTTATTCTCGTTCAAACATTCTGTCATTCGTAATTCATTACGCGTTATTTATTTTCTTCGCCATAAAGTGTCATGATGACTTCGCCTCCTTCTCCTGCATCTCCCTCCACTGCCTCTCGACCTTGATATTCTGCCAGAACCTCCAGCTTGCCAGTGCCACTGCCAAAGGTGGGAATCCCAACATCAGCCACGCCCACCATTCTGGATTCGCTTCTTTCAGCTTCCGCATCTCCTCATCCAACGCTGCTTTGAGCTCGTCCTTGGATCCGTCATTCCATAGCACCACTCCCTTGCCCTCGCCCGCGTACAGGCACCTCTTCGCCTTGAGACGCACATCCATCTGACTCTTGACCCTATTCTCG